TCCGAGAGCGTGCTCGATGAGCAGGAACGGAACAAAGCGTTCATTCCCGAGGCGCTGAGAATGAGACGACGGTGTGCTGCAGGCATGCAGTGTCTTGATGCGCTTTCCTTGTAGCAGAACTGATCCATATGTTCAGCCATCCACCACTTGGCATCGGCGGTGAGCGCGCCTGGATTCTGTATGTTAGTATTCTGCTAAAAGACCTTCACGCCCATCCCCTTATTCAGAGCCTGTCGTAAGGCAGAATGAATGGTCAAGAATAACTCTAGAAAACGGAACTGGGAATACGATGCTATCTGTCAATTTCAGATCCACGAAAATAATTTCGACTCGGGCACACCATCGCGGCAGCACGGAAAAGCAGTGAGGGGGCATAATGCTTTCTAAGATACGTAGAGGAGTTTCATCTATAAAGTGTAGTTACCGTAGTCGAGTTACCAATGTATTGTCGGCGTAAACGAATTCTTCTACGCTGCTGGCAAACAATCAGCCATCGGCCATTCAGCCTGGAGGACAATATATAAGATATATTATAGAAGATTATCCTTAGCTGAAGTGTACTTATATGAATTTCAAAAGGAAATTGTAACATTTAAAAGGCCTGCGGTTTATGCTAAAAATGTGGATTGCAATCACAAAATTTTAAAAATATTAAGTTGAGGTTATGTCCTTACGTTTGTTAATATTTTGACAAAGACCACAAACAGTAAAATCAAAGCAAGTGACCGAGTGAAAGAAAAGAATAGAACGAAAAGTATACCGTCAGGTGGAATCTGGTAATTCTGGTAATCGGGAAAGTAGTCCTCTAGCTTGTGTCTACCAGATTTAATTTTCTCAGCTAAAAGATCTTGCTTGTTAAGAAACAATATTGCTGATATTGTTTTCAGCCACCTGAACAAAAACGGGTGGTTATACGGGCAAGAGTAGTCAACAAGTCATCATTATACCTGTTGTTCCAAATAGACTTGAAGAGACTCAACGACTCCCTCAAACGGTTGACCGCTTTGTCTTCCATGAGCACCATGTTGTAGGACGACGAAGCGCAGACGAATATCACGGCCGTCACGTCGTTAAAGCATTGAATCCATTTGCGACGTTCATCTCGCTGGCCGCCAACGTCGAACATACTGAAAACGAATGTTACCGACTTACTTCAATGGCTGACAAGCAGGCAACACACGAACAGTCACATATACACGCATTCATATACAGTCATACGCTAAAAACATTATTCATGTAGAATATCGTAGAAAGTCAAATCCTGAAAATCTGAAACCGCAAATTTAGCAATAAATGACAAAAACTGAAATTGTTTTACAATATACAAAATATACCTATAACTATATAATTTACCGCATAAAACGAACCACCTTTTTCCAAGTTTATTTATAGAGGGACTCTAGAAGTGGCACTATCGGTGAAACGAAGGTCTAATTCTATTAGCTAAAGCGTCGGATATGCATCCATCACAGA